CCGAAAAAAAAAAAAAAAAAAAAAAAAAAAAGAATAGGAGGTGGAGCAGAGATGGGGCAATGGGGATAAAGAGGAGGGCTCTCTCAGGCCCCAGGATGCCGGGAGCCTGAGCAGGAGAGCAGCTGTTTGTAATCAGGCAAGAAGCAGTGTCAGTGACATGCCACCCATTCCCAGCTGCCCAGGGGAGAAACAGCCTGGAGAGGCTGCCCGAAGGCCCGCTGGACTCCCACCTCCACCCATGCTCCCCATCCTGCCTCCCAGGAAGGCCCCATCCCCTGTGCTATCCTCAGAGCTCCCCTAGGGCTATTACACTTGCCTCAAGATGAGATTGACAAGACAAGAAGTTAGAAGCTCAGAGGCTACAGGGTGCTGGGTGAGGACTTTCAGGTTCTGGTCCAGGGTGCACAGTCAGAAGAGTAGATCTGGCCTGACAGCCCTTCTCTCCCCCAACCAGGCCCTGACTCCTCGTGGTGTCTGATGCTGGGCTCTTGGGGTCCAGGGGACTCACCCCCAGATCTGGCCCTGGGGGAGATCATGCAGGTTCTGGGGCTCTGTGTTCTGTCCCTCCCCACCTGCGCACTCTAGGGATTTTCTTACCCCTCTGGCTGGTTCAGCCTTCTTGGTGGCAGCAAGGGACAGGGGCAGCAGTGACGTGAGCAAAACTGCCAGAACTGCCTGCCATTCCATCTGTTCGCAAACGCCGTTGGGCCTGGAGAGTAGCTAACCCCTGGTCAGTGCCAGCATTCCGTGCACATCAGTGACCATCAGACAACACAGATGCGCCACACAGAGCTCTGAGCACGGTTCATTTATGCCAGCCTCACTTGCATCTGTGGGGAATACGCGCAGCTGCAGCGCCCAGAGCATTTCAGAGCCCACAGGCCCCACAGCAATGCCAGTGCGCCCCGTGGGCCTCCCCTTTCGTATGTCCTCCTGGAGATGACAGCTGGGCCTTATGCTGCCCCGTCTTTAGTTGCTGCTCCCTGGCTCAGTAGCTTTTCCTGGGACACTGTGGCCAGTGTGAAGACTCCTGAGGTTCCCAGCTGGGCCCCCGCTCACTGGATTGAGTTCCCTCTGTGTTCTTTACCTCGCCACTCTTTTGATGGCAGAACTGCAAACAACCTACAGCATGAGCTCAAGCTCTTCAATTTCTCTTCCTCCCTGGCCTCCCCTGAATTCTCCGACTCACCTTCTCTTTTGGAATTATCATGGATTTCCATTTGAATCTGTATGGCTCCTGTCTGGGCTGGCCAAGGCTCCAGCGACAGCCCGACCCCTTCCTGCTTTTTCCTGCTGCATGATGCCCCTGGGCTCCCCAACCTACACCCAGGGCTGCACCCCCTCCTGGTGATGCCCTGGTTGGTGTTGTCATTGGTCTGTGGTCCCATCGGTGGCCCTGGTGTAAATCTCAAAGTCACCCTTTCTTTCATGGTCCCCATCAAACACTGAGGCCTCTTGGTTCTTTCTCCACAAATTTCTCAGATTGTTATTTCCACCGACTTCCCCTGAGAACATGGCACTGTGCAAGGAGCCTCATGGAAGCCAGCCCCTTCCATCATTCACTCTACAGTGCTATTTGCTATACATCCATCATCACAGCAGAACATGACTTTTGCCCAAGTCTCAGGGGGGGCCTCAGGTTCTGCTTGGCTGAAGCCCCCCAGCTCCTCCCAGGGTGCTGGCCTGCCACGCCCCATCACTCTGCCTGCCATGGGCACCTGTTGGCCACCAGCCTGCGCCTTTCCTGTGGGCTTAGTGCTTTGTGGACTGCTGGTGTTCTCAACAAAGTAAGGAAATTACAGAAACACGGCCCAGGATTTCTTGAGGTGGAGGAAAGCTGGAGATGGAGTGTCCACTGTGTACCTGACACTTGTTAAGAACACTTGTAGCAAGATTCCACTGCTTCAGAATTGCTCCGAGTTCCCAGTGTGTGTGAGGCCCAGGCCCAGGCCCAGATGTAGGGGAGGCTCACCCAGCTCCACCACCCTAGGGCTTATGGCCAGGGGCACAGCAGAACCCAAACACCCTGTTACAGCTCACTCTTGGTTCACCGCCACAGCTACAGGAGCTGGGATGGGGTTGGGGGGTGCACAGGGGCTGAGTAGATGCTCCCTTCCCATGGGGCCCCCGAGAGAGGATGACCAGTGCCTTCTACAGTGATGCTCCAAGGCCCTGGAGGCTGGGGAATAGCCCAGGTCCTGCGGCTGGGACAGGGCAAGGCCGCGTCCCTTCCCTCAACAGAGCTGCCCCCTGACCCCCAAGGATCAGGGATTCCCCCCAGATCCTACAAGTGGCACCCTGTGTGCTGGCCTCTTCCTGGCACCGAGCTGCAAGACCTTTCTGCTTTCTCCTCCAGCCCAGCCAATGGGGGCCGCACTTGCTCAGGCCTTGCCTACGATTTCCAGCTCTGCAACTCCCAGGACTGCCCTGACGCCCTGGCTGACTTCCGTGAGGAGCAGTGCCGGCAATGGGACCTATACTTCGAGCATGGTGACGCCCAGCACCACTGGCTGCCCCACGAGCACCGAGATGGTGAGCCCTAAGGGGAGTGGGCATTCAGTGTACAGGCCAGGGTTCACTGGACCACTGATTCTGCATGGGCATGCCAGCAGAGCCCACCCTGGGCAGGGTGGTGGCCGGCTTGGGGCTCACGGCAAGACTGCAATCCCAGAAGAGCCAGACAACTGCACCTGGCCAAGGATGCAGCGAAGAGGGCGGGGCCCAGCTGGCCCCAGGCTCCTGTGCTTGCCACCCAGTGGCCAAGGCTAGCGTTGCGCCTTTACGCCGGCTCAGCCAGGAGGCGGAGGGCAGGGGCGGAGCCTGCCAAGGAATCAGGTTACTTCTGACCTCTCATCTTTCAGTGGGAGCTCTCAGTTCCAAGTGACGAACTGGTTTAAGCATCAAAAGGCATTTGTTCGCTCCTAGAACTGAAAAGTCTGGTAGTTTCAAGCATGAGAGTGTTTGTATTTCATTTGGGTACCCCTCCCACTAAATGATGGAGAAACAGTTTCTGTTCCTTCCAGGCACTGGGCAGAGGAGGGGAGTGGGGACTGGGGCGTGCTCTGCTGTCTCCATCACCCCATGTGTGTCACACCGGCTGAGCACCTGTTGCAAGCCCCACGTGTGCATTCAAAGAGGCGGTGCCAGAGCAGACAGATCCCCCTCTCAGAGCGAGGCTTTGGTCTGGCGAAAAATCAAATAATGGCGTGGTGTCATAGTGACCTTGGAGGTAAATGCTGAGAAGGAAAGGTGCCGGGGACTGAATCAGGGGGCATCTTATTTGGGGTTTCAGAGGTTGACTGAAAAGGGTCTCCAGGTAGAGAGCTGGCATACAGCCATTTTCCCTTCCCCTCGATATGGGGGTCTCTGGGCAGGGCCTCGGGAATCTGAGACCTGGCTGCACCAACAACAGCCTGGCTCAGTTGGGAAAAGCTCTTCCTAAGTGCCACACAACAGGGTCACGAAGGGGGTTGCAGTTATCTGCCCCCTTTCGCTTTCTCTCCCGGCCCAGGGCAGGCATGTAGGGGGGTGGGTGAATCGTAAGAAGACCCTCCTGGGTGAGAGTTTCTCCTTGCAGGGTGCTTCCCTTTAGCAAACTTGGGAAGGAAACTGCAAGCAAAGTGAGCGGTGCAGCTGGCCCTCCTCACCAACACCCCACTGCTTCCCTTCCAGCCAAAGAGAGATGCCACCTCTACTGTGAGTCCAAGGAGACTGGGGAGGTGGTATCCATGAAGCGCATGGTGCATGATGGGACGCGCTGTTCTTACAAGGACGCCTTCAGCCTCTGCGTGCGCGGGGACTGCAGGGTGAGTGCCACGAGGCCAGTGCGGTGCCACCGGAGCAGGGACAGCCTCAGCTCAGGGCCTCCGCTGTCTGGGGCTTTGGGAGGATTCACTGAGGTTGAGCTTGCAAACTGTTGCAAACAGCATCTAGCTCAGGGCAGGCTCTCAGCAAATGTTGGTTCCCACCCCCTGCTCCCTGCTCCCCCTCTCCATGACAAGGGTTCTCAGACTTGAGTCTGAGGAACCACCTGAGGAGCTTGGGGCTCCACCTCAGAGATTCTGCTTACGTAGGTCGAGGTTGTGGCCCAGAGCATGAGTTTTACCAGTTTTACCAGGTGATCTTGATGCACATGGCCCCTGGGGGACCCCTTGTGAAGCACTGCCATGTCCTTGCACTCCTCTGGACACTGGACAGCTTACCCTCGATCAGGGTGGCCCACCATGGCTCTCGTTGGTTTGGCTCTTTGTAGAAATGCCCTGCTGTGTTTTCTGATACTTTATCGTCTTTGGCTTCGATCTTAGGCTGTTGCAAGAGACAACTGTGGGGCATACTCGGCATAAAATAGTAACATGAGTGCAGAACCGGCCCGTCCCCTAGAAATACCTGGAAGCCTCTGTGTAGATGAGACTGATTGTAGGTGTCAAAGAGGCTGATTCTTATCTTACCTTCCTGAGAAACGAGCATCCTCAGGATGTCCCCGGCAGAGAGCCTGGCAGAATGCCACAGGCCCCCTGGCGGAGACAGATGAGGCTGGAAGAGCAGGGAGGTGGGGTGTGGAGTAGCTGGAGGCAAGCTCAGGGATTCTCTCCAGCCACGTGATTTCAGTAGGACTGCAGCCAGCAGGGAGGGCAGGCCATATAGTCTGCTCACACTCCAAACACTCAGCCAAATACTTAAAGACAGCAGTGTCTCCCCTGTACCTGAGGGGTTTTAATTGATGGAGGTGACCAAATGATGACACAGAGAAGTCAGTGCCATTGAAAGAAGAACTTATTACTTATTACATTTCCTGAGGGAAGGGTATGGCATGCTGTGCAGGGCCACATGGAGAAGCACCAGATTCACCTGGGAGGCAGAGGGAGCAGGAGAAAGTCTGGGCCAAAGCTTTTATTGGGGTTTCCATGGGAAAAGGCAAGGCAGGCAGAGTAAACAGGTTGGGATTGGCCAGTTTGAATAATTCTGGCAGGAGTGGTGTCTAGATTCCTGGTATCTGACCCTGGGATGATTTAGGGCAGAGACATATTGGCTTAGTGTGTGAGAGTTTGATAAAGGGAGGCATCAGTTGGTGTGTGTATGAAAGGTGTGCTTCCATTGCTGTCCCTAAGAACTGGCTAGCTAGCCCTGGGAAGGGCGGTCTCTTCTTGACTAGCAAGATTTTTAAGATGTCAAAACATCATAGCACACAGAAAATATTAAAAACCGTGATTAAGAAAGGCCGTAGCATGGGAAACATTTAGTAGTGGAAGTAGATTTAGATGGCAACTGTGCATATGGTACAAACATAACAGGGAAGTGGGAACACTAATTCACCCTCTTGGTTAGTGGGCGTGTCTAGAGCTTCACTCCTGACATTGACAACTGGAAAAGAATAGGGTATTTCATTAATTAATGGTGATTTTGAACAGATAACAGTAGAATGATAGAGTTTTGCATAATTAGAAAATGCTTACATTTATATATGGTCACATTGCAAAAGTTAGAAAACAAAGGAGACAGAAAGATCGAAAACACACAAAGGAAATGGGAGTAATAAGATGGAATGTAGGAGTCCTCACAATACATATGAATGTGAAACTCTTCTTTTGAAAGAATCTAATATCCAAGTGGATGCTGTCAGTGAGAGCATATCAAAACACAGTGACTCAGGAAGTTTCAAAGAGAAATGATAGCAAAAGACATGTCAGGAGAATAAAGATACATACACACACACACACACACACACACACACAGAGAGCAGAGAATCAGGAATTAAATGAGGCCATAGAGATTCTGATTCCAATCCCAGTTTGGGGTATTTTCCCCTACATGTCCAACAAGCAATTCTCTGACATCAGCTGGATGTTGTGGGCTGAAAAAAACTGCATAATGTGAGAGATGTTAGTTAAGTTTTACTTGGGGTAAAATGAGGACTATAGCTTTGAGGAACTGCTCCAAAGAGGTAAGCGGAGGTCAGTATTATACATGATTTTAGTGAAAGGGGGTACGTGCAGTCAAGCACACATTGTGGCAGAGGCTTGCTGCTGGTCACCAGGAGCAGATGTCGCCATTAATGATTTTGGTGCTTTCTTAGATAGAAGATGCAAGAATTTATGGGTTCATAAAATCTTCTGAAAATATCTAACTCTCTGAAGGCCTGTTCTGCCAGTTTTTCTCAGAGCACAAGAGTGCCTCATTCCTGATCTCCACCCTGAACTCCTTTCAGGTGTGTTGAAGGTCAGCGACTACAGTGGCTAGTGACCTAATCCTTGTAGAAGCAGATGGCAAGTGCCAATTTTTAGTTGGCAGTGTCCTAAAATTTAACTCAGTTCTGACACTACCTACCCAGAGATAGCATCAAATCCCACAAGTTAAGACCTCAGGCCTGTAAGACAGCGCCCTGCCTTCAGATGCCAATCACAAGTCCAGGTTGTCACCTGTGCTTCTGATTAACAGACTGTAGATTGGAGGTTCCAACAACCCCTTCCTTGGGTTCAATTAATTTGCTAGAGTGACTCTTAGAACTCAAAAAACAGTTACTAGATTACCAGTTTATTATAGAGGGATATAGCTCAGGAACAGGCAGATGGAAGATGCTTAGGGCAAGGTATGTAGGAAGGAATGGAGCTTCCAGGCCCTTCCAGAGCGTGCTGCTGTCCCCAAATCTCTATGCGTTCACCAACCCGGAAGCTCTCCAAACCCCACCCTTTTGGGGTTGTTATGGAGACTTCATTACAGGCATGACCGACTAAATAATGGGTCACTGACCACCTACTCAACGCCCCCCCCCATAAAGAGAGCTTTATGGCTCTCACCACAGAAAATTCCAAGGGTTTTAGGAGGTCTAGCCAGAAACTGGATGAAGACCAAATATATATATATATATATAGGGTCTCTGGCTTACACACTGAATAGCATAGGACTTAATCTTCATTACTGTGTGAGTCAATTTCTTATTAGAATAAGTCTCATACACACACACACACACACACACACACACACACACACACACACATATATATATATATATATATATATATATCATAAATCACAATATCACAACCGCCCTGGCTGGACAGGAGGTCCTCCCCTCCCTCCTTTCCTCTCCCTCCTCCCCTTTCTCTTCCCTCCTCCTCAGCATCAGCTTCATCCTTCAGGCAACGTGTGACTGTTTACAAGGACCATATCCTCTCATCTGGGCAACAGCCCTGGCAGGCCTTGCTGCTCTGACTCCATGTCACAAATGTGGAAACAGACTCGAAGTTTCTCTGAGACTGCATTGCCAGGAAGTGGCTCTGTAGCCCCTTCATAGTCTAGAGACCCTGCCCTCAAAGGTCTTTGTAAGACAAAAGTCAGAAATCAAAGAGCAAAACTAACAGAATATTGTAAAGCAATAAAAAAATTTTTTTAAGGTGTGTATTTTAAAGAAGCAAAACTAAAATACGAAAAAGATATATCAAAAATAAATAAATCAATCAAAGAGCAAAGGGAAAGGAAGCAGTCTCACAAGAGGCGGTGATAGGAGGATCCTGAGGGGTGAATTGGCTCTGGGCTTTCTGGCAGCCAGGGCAAAGAGGGAAACCTGTGATGCTATGGTGCACTCAGGACAGACGGCGAGCAGACCAGCTAGGAGGAGAGGTTGTCTTCCCTGCTGAGTGTGGTCATGGATGTGAAAGTGGCCTCAGGCAGTGTGTTCAGACCCAGGGTCCGCTCCCCGCAGAGCTCTGGGGCCCTGGGAATGGTGTGCTATCGGCAGGGCTATAGAGAGTAACAGAACCGGAATTTGTTACTGCCTCTACCAGGTGGCCCTGGGCAAGGAACGTCCCTGCTCTATGTGGAACAATTTTCGACACTAGAGTGGACAGTGTTGAGAGGATTGGTTGAGAGAATGAAGGCAAAAGTGTTCCTACCAACTCTTGTCACCTCCTTCCCAGACACCCCGAGACAGACTGAAGAGGACATTGTTCCTGGGGGCAGTGTGAGGGGAGGGACATCTTGGGCTAAGCTTTGGGTGCGAGCCCTGGAGGGACCGCCTCTGGGGCTGCGCTGCGTGGACAGCCGGGAGAAGGGGCAGAGGCCATGTCTGATACGTCCATTAGGACACCAGCGTGCTGTGGCAGGACAGCCTCAGGACCAGGCCCTGTTTAGGCTGTTCAGAGCCCTCCGCAGGTCACACTGTCCAGACAAGTGGATGGGTGAGGGGGAAAGGCTGGTCCTTGGGTGGGCACACAGGGTCTGTCTTGCTCCAAAGCCCCCTCTCCTTCCCCTGCATCAGGAACTGCTAAGAAAGGATGCCCAGACCTGGGCTGTGGAGGGAACAGGTGGGGAGAGGGGGTCTCGAGTGTACGCTGCACCTCCCCCCCCCTCTGCAGAAGGTGGGCTGTGACGGGGTGATCGGCTCCAGCAAGCAGGAGGACAAGTGTGGTGTGTGTGGAGGGGACAATTCCCACTGCAAGGTGGTCAAGGGCACGTTCACACGCTCGCCCAAGAAGCTCGGTGAGTGCGCCCCTCCCTCCCCCTGCCCAGGGCACCCAGGGGGTGCACCTGGCCGGGTGGCTCTGACTGGGGTCTCAGATGTTTGCGGGAGAGGGGGTGTAAGTCTGGGAGGGTGAGGTGGAGAGAGAATCAGATCAGGGGCAGCTGTGCCAGGCCCCAGGGTGGGCGGAGACAGTGATAATGCCAGGGTGTATGTGCACAGGGTGGGTCTTAGAAGTCTTTATTTGAGGGCACCCTCCCCAGCCCTCTAAGTCTTTCCGGCCGCCAGCTGGCCTCCCTTGCTCGCTACCCCCAGCCACCTGTCAGCAGGACTTTAATGGGCTGGTCAGTGCAGCCTGTGGCCTAGGGACACGTAAGCCTGTCCCCACAGGGCCACAGGATGGGGCTAGGGAACTTAGGGTCCCTGGCCAAGGTGGGCTCTGGGAAAACAGACCGCTTGGTGAGCCTCCTTCCACAGTGGCACCTCCGTCTGGCTTCGGTGCTCTGGGTGGGCTCGCAGCAGCTGACTGCTCTACCTCTGTCCGAGATGGCGAGAAGCCACTGTGGTTCACCTCTTTTGGAAGGAGGCCATGGGACAAACCTGCCAGACTCCACTCAGAGCTGGTGCCCCAGCGCCAGGAGCCGACCTTCCGCATCGCCCCACGTGGGCAGGCTGTCTTCAGTTTGCAGATTAAGCTGCCGAGATCCAGGGAGGGCAAGCAGTTTGCTGAAGGCCTCCCTCCTGGATGTGGCATCTTAGCTCCGTGCCCAGGTGTGACTCCAGGGACACTCACGAGGACGCCTACTAAGTTTTCAGTGGAGGAGGCTGAAGGAGCACCTGGATTTGAAGATGAGCAAAGGGCTGTGGCTGGCTGGGATGTGCTAGCTTTCCCGTGGACCCCTCTCTGGGTGGGCAGTCAGAGCCCATAAAACATTGGGGGCTCTGGAACCACCTTCGAGGGTAAGGCCCTCCTGGCATTGTCTGCATTCGACGGCCTCTCCCTTCTCATTTGGCTTTTGTCTCCCCACATCCCAACAAAGGTTACATCAAGATGTTTGAGATCCCGGCAGGAGCCAGACACCTGCTTATCCAGGAGGCAGACACCACCAGCCACCACCTGGGTGAGTGTCGGAGCCCAGGCAGTGCGGTGGATCCGCAGCCTGACTCTTCCGGGGATCAGGGGCCCAGCTGAGAGGCGTGGCTGCAGCCCCATCTCCCCTGTCCCTGGCCTGGCCCACCTGGTGGACGTCTCCTGGAGTCATTTCCCAATGGAGAGGCCAGGGGTTGGGATCAGAGGGCTTCCCTGGCAGCAGCTGTGGAGGGACATGTGTTTAAAACATGCCACACCTCCCCACCCTAAGTCCATCTCGAGGCCAAGGGGGAAGCCCCCTCTCCACTGGAAGGCAGGCAAGGTCCTTAAGCAGCGGCTGCTAAGGCCAGCTGGTAGATGGGCCTCTATGACGTATTTGCATTTTTTCATTTAGTTTCACTTTAAATTCAAGTGATTCTTTTGGAATAGGGATTCCTGGCATCTGTTGAAAATTTGGATGTTCTAACAACTCTGAGTGCCCCCTTCTCACATGGCAGCCCCCTGTGGGCTCCTCCGGGCTGCCTAGGGCTCCTCAAAGGGGCTTCACCCATCCATGCCCCCCACCAAGTTGTAAGGCCGAAGTAGGAAGTGATGCCGGGGTCACTGAGGGGACCCCATACAAGTCTCTTCCTCCAATTTGGGTCCCGACCTTCCTCCCTGTGCCCTGGAGGCCAGACTGGGTCAGGCGCTCCATGACTGCCTCCATCTGGCCCCCGCCACTGACGCGAGACAGACAACCACTCTTTTTAATATGAATTTTTCTTTCTTCCTCATTTTAAGAGGAGACTTTATGTTGCTATCCCAAAATGCAAAGCCAGTGGCACTTGCCTTAAGTAGAAGGCAAATATGAAAGTTGATCCCTGAAAAAAAAGACAGTTCTATCTAAACACTGTTTCCTTCTCTCCCTGCACAAGAGGAGGGAGGGTTAGTGACAAGCTGAGGACCTCCTGGCACCCTCTGAGGATCTCAGGGGATTCTAGGAGACTTGTGAAGGGAATGATTTCCTAACTCTGTGATCCCATGATTTTTGTGCCCAGTCTGTGACACCACCTAAAATCTTCCAGCAGACCCCCAGCAGGCACTTTCCACTGTGGGAGGTGTGGGGCTTCCTGACCAGTGGATTCTCGGCTCCTAGACATTCTTTGTGGATGCCTAGTGGCCTGAGTGGTCCCCGGGCCAGGTCAGGCCTCCTTGGGTTGTAGGGAACTGGTGGGGACCCGGGCCGAGACACAGTTACCAACAGGGTGGGGAGACATATGGGACGTATGCTCACCCCAGGGAAGGAAGCCCTCACCCAGCCCTGTGCCCTGGTGTCCAGCAGATGCCCCTCACCCGGGGGGCTGGGGCAGGGAGGGCAGTGGCTCTGAGAGCCCACTGAGTGTTCCAAGTAGACAGCAAGTATGTGGCCTTCATACCTGCCGAGTCCCTTGCCATGTAGCATCTCCTTCAGGGCCTGAGGGGCAGATCCAGGAAAGGGCACTGGGCCTGGCAGAAGGGCAGGGTTAGAGGGAAACTTAGTTTGGGCTGAGAGACAAAGGGCAAGTCAGGTTCCCAAGGTGATTTGGGCTGTCAGTGGGACTGGCGGGCCCCTGGCAGAAGACAGCTGGGAGACGAGGGGCTCTGCTCCCTGTAACTCCCCCAACCTGTTCAAACCAGCATACCCTGCCAGCCTTCCCGCAGTTCTGCCCCTGGGTGACGCTGGCTGTCTTCTGCCATTCTCAGCCATCAAGAACCTGGAGACAGGCAAGTTCATTTTAAATGAAGAGAATAACGTGGATCCCAACTCCAAATCCTTCATTGCCATGGGTGTGGAGTGGGAGTACCGGGATGAGGATGGCCGGGAGACGCTGCAGACCATGGGCCCCCTCCACGGGACCATCACTGTGCTGGTAAGTCGAGGCAGAGGCCAGGCCCACTGCCTCCTGGCTGCCCAGGCAGGGGGCAAGTAGCTGCTAGGGAAGGGATGGAGGGGTGCCTGGGAACCGTGAGCCTCCCTGCATACTTCGGACCATGCTCTGAACGGCCTCTCTGGCCTGACTTTTGGACCAAGGGTCTCTATATCTGTGTCAGAGCAAGGAACAGACATGGAGCCACCAGTTGGGCTCTGGGCCCTGTGTCAACCCCTGGGTGACTAAATACAAAATCCCCTGCAAGCAATTAGGTTTCCCCCTCTGGGTGACATTCATGACCACTTTTCATCATGCTTATTCATGTCTGCCACTGTATCCAAACCCAGCCACTCTCTGGGGGTGACCAATGGGGCTCGGGGAATTGGACTGCTAGACCCAGGTCACACTAGACTTTGTCCCTGAGCAGGACTGAACCCCAGGTATCCTGAGTCCAGGACCACAGGCTGCTTCTGGTGATGGGAGTACAGAGGGGGCTTGATTTCCTAATTCACTTTTTAAAAATTAACTTTAATTGCATACATAATATATTTTATCAGTTAAAAAAAGTTAAAACACTACAGGTAAGGCTCAGGTGACTTTTGCCCCTCCGTTAAGGTGAGCACACTATGGTTGGGTTCAGTCACCCGGACCCAGCGCCCCACACCAGAGTGTGCATCTGTGGGGATGGGGTGTTTCATGTGCGCTGTGCTCTGCTCTGCTCACCTCAGCTGCATGTACTTTTCATCCCCAGAAACGCCTTTGGTGCCCTGTCTTTGTCAGTGCATATACAGTCAGGCTTCAGTATCTGCCATTTCCGTATTGGTAAATTCACCTACTGAAAGTATTTCTGATCCCAAAATCAATACAGGCGTACCTCAGGAGATACTGCAGGATCGGTTCCAGACCACCACAGTAAAGCGAATATGGCAATAACGCAAGTCACATGAACGTTTTGGTTTCCCAGTGTGTGTGATAGCCTTAGGTCTAAAAAAAACAATGTATATACCTTGATTAAAAATACAAAGCAAAAAATCAGTTACAATAATAACATCAAAGATCACTGATCAGAGATCACCATAATAAAAGTAATAATAATGAAAAAGTTGGAAATATTGTGGGAATTACCAAAATGTGACCCAAAGACACAAAGTGAGCAAATCCTGTTGACAAATGGCGCCAATAGGCTTGCTGGATGTGGGGCTGCCACAAAAGTTTAATTTGTAAAAAACCGGGGCTTCCCTGGTGGCACAGTGATTGAGAGTCTACCTGCCGATGCAGGGGACACAGGTTCGTGCCCCGGATGACCAAGGGTCTCTATATCTGTGTCAGAGCAAGGAACAGACATGGAGCCACCAGTTGGGCTCTGGGCCCTGTGTCAACCCCTGGGTGACTAAATACAAAATCCCCTGCAAGCAATTAGGTTTCCCCCTCTGGGTGACATTCATGACCACTTTTCATCATGCTTATTCATGTCTGCCACTGTATCCAAACCCAGCCACTCTCTGGGGGTGACCAATGGGGCTCGGGGAATTGGACTGCTAGACCCAGGTCACACTAGACTTTGTCCCTGAGCAGGACTGAACCCCAGGTATCCTGAGTCCAGGACCACAGGCTGCTTCTGGTGATGGGAGTACAGAGGGGGCTTGATTTCCTAATTCACTTTTTAAAAATTAACTTTAATTGCATACATAATATATTTTATCAGTTAAAAAAAGTTAAAACACTACAGGTAAGGCTCAGGTGACTTTTGCCCCTCCGTTAAGGTGAGCACACTATGGTTGGGTTCAGTCACCCGGACCCAGCGCCCCACACCAGAGTGTGCATCTGTGGGGATGGGGTGTTTCATGTGCGCTGTGCTCTGCTCTGCTCACCTCAGCTGCATGTACTTTTCATCCCCAGAAACGCCTTTGGTGCCCTGTCTTTGTCAGTGCATATACAGTCAGGCTTCAGTATCTGCCATTTCCGTATTGGTAAATTCACCTACTGAAAGTATTTCTGATCCCAAAATCAATACAGGCGTACCTCAGGAGATACTGCAGGATCGGTTCCAGACCACCACAGTAAAGCGAATATGGCAATAACGCAAGTCACATGAACGTTTTGGTTTCCCAGTGTGTGTGATAGCCTTAGGTCTAAAAAAAACAATGTATATACCTTGATTAAAAATACAAAGCAAAAAATCAGTTACAATAATAACATCAAAGATCACTGATCAGAGATCACCATAATAAAAGTAATAATAATGAAAAAGTTGGAAATATTGTGGGAATTACCAAAATGTGACCCAAAGACACAAAGTGAGCAAATCCTGTTGACAAATGGCGCCAATAGGCTTGCTGGATGTGGGGCTGCCACAAAAGTTTAATTTGTAAAAAACCGGGGCTTCCCTGGTGGCACAGTGATTGAGAGTCTACCTGCCGATGCAGGGGACACAGGTTCGTGCCCCGGATCGGGAAGATCCCACATGCCACGGAGCGGCTGGGCCCGTGAGCCATGGCCGCTGAGCCTGTGTGTCCGGAGCCTGTGCTCTGCAACAAGAGAGGCCACAACAGTGAGAGACCCGCGTACCGCAAAAAAAAACCAAAAAACAAAAAACCGTAGTATCTGCGAAGCGCAGTAAAACAAAGTGCCATAAAGCAAGGTCTGCCTGTACTTGCAGTGGAGCAGGGGAAGATGTGAGGAGGCGGAAACAGGCGAGGCTCTGCTTCTTGTTTCAGCTGCTACTGCAAACAAGCGTCTTTTTCACACTCTATTTACTGCCATGTTGTCTGCATTTTTGTGCTTTTGCGGGATGATTTCATTGTTAAAATGGCCCCAAGCATGGGTCTGGTGTTCCTCTGAGCAGGAAGCTGCAGGTTTGCCCTAAGGAGAGAGCGCATGTGTTAGATGAGCTGCATCCAGGCACAAGTAACTGGGTGCTGGCCGTGAGTTCAGTGTTAATGAATCAATGGCATGTACTAATTAAGGTGTCTTTAAACAGAAACGCACATAGAATAAGCTTATGCATTGACTGTTAATGAAACTATCATGACCAGAGGTTCGCAAGCCCTGATGCCATGCTCCCCTGCGAGCAGCAGTTCAGTACTGGCAGATTCGGTGTTTGCTGGGACTTTCTAGAACCTGAGTACCGTGAATAATGAGACTTGGCCGCGCATGTTCCTCAGGCTGACTTTCCTAACCTGGTCGCCGAGGGAGGGTGGTGGTGGGCAGACACATTCACGTCCATCTCCGGGGCAGGTCATCCCGCAGGGGGACGCCCGCATCTCGCTGACCTACAAATACATGATCCATGAGGACTCGCTCAATGTGGATGACAACAATGTCCTGGAGGACAATTCCGTGGGCTACGAGTGGGCCCTGAAGAAGTGGTCTCCCTGCTCCAAGCCCTGCGGTGGAGGTGAGTTGGGGCCCCAGAGGAGGTCGGGGCCGAGTGGGAGGGGTCTCCTGGATGAGGAGCTTCCTAAGTCCATGGTCCCTGCTGACTGCCTGGCATGAGGGATGTGCCAGGTATGAGAACACTAGACCGAAGCCAGTGACCTTTGCCTGCGTGACAAGGGCCTAGCCCCACTAGGGAGGTGGCCGAGGGTGGGCAGGAAGAGCAGGTGCCCAGGGCAGCCAGGGGGCATGTATGGGGCTTGGATGACACCAGCACCCACCTGCATCGTGTGAGAGGGAGGTCCGGCCTGGCGGGAGGTGGCTATGAGGGTGTGGCTTGGATGGATTACTGTGACACCACGAGGCAGGTCACAGGAAAGGCTCAGGCCATGCTGGAGACCAATGAAGAGGCCCCCTCTGCAGAGATCCCTCCTAAGATCCCTCTTTTCCGAATGCAGAAAGGCCTTTCCTCCCTGGGGCAGGGCTGGGTGCAGAGAGGTCCCACCTGCTTTGGACCTCAAAGAGTCCACAGTTGGGTGGGACGTAACAGACAGACAGGAAGTTCTGATCTGCCCAGTGTAGTCACTGCTCCTAGGGGGCTGGAGGAAATAAAAGGCAGGAGAAGAGAGCTCAGCCTGCAGGAGCAGGTGGCCAGGACAGACCTCCTTCAGGTGCCATGAAGGGTCCCACACCTAGACAACAGAGAGAGTTTGCCCAGTGGGCGGGCACCCACTGCCAGGCCCAGGCAGATGGAGGGCTCATCTTCCAGTGCTCCTGCCTGGGCGGATGGCACCCCAGCCTTCCACTGAGCCTCCCGGCCCCCTGGATTTTATCAGCACATCCTGTTGAGTCTCCCTCCTGCGTATCTCTTGGACTCATCTGCTGTTACCATCTTCCCAGTCCTGGCACCATCCTCGCTACCCAACTGGCCCCATGTGTCCACTCTTGCCCTCAGAGTGACCTATTAAAGGGGCAGATCAGACCATACCCCTTTCTGTGATCACAGTTTTCAGTAGCTCCTTCTGCTCTTGGGATTAAAAACAAAATTCTCCTCATGGCCTCCAAGGTCCAAGCAACTTGCTGACTTCTCCCACTGCCGTTGGCACCCCCAACCCTTGCTCACTCAGCCCTGTCCACACTGGCCTTAAGTGCTTTTCCTGGACACGCCATGCTCCTGCCTCAGGGCCTTTGCATAGGCCATCTCCCCCCCGGGGAGCCCCTTCCACTGCTTTCCCACTAAATCAGCACACCTCCATCCTCTGTTTCCTGGGACACCCCCAGATGCCCAGGCTAGATCAGGCTTCCCAGTCATATTCTCTCATGTCTAACCCACTAGGCTGAGGTTTTGAGACTTGGCACTGTTGACATTTTGGGGTCTATAATTTTCCATTGTGGGGGGTAGTCCCGTGCATTGTAGGATGCTGAGCAACATCCCCAGCCTCTTCCTGTTAGATGTCGGTGGCATCTCCTCCCCCAGTTGTGACAACTAAGTGTCCCAGACATTGCCAGATGTCCCCAGGGGCAAAACCTCCACCAGCTGAGAACTGCTACATTAGACTGGCTGGAGGAGCCTGGCAGGCTGTATTCCATGTTTAGCCAGGTCCTCAGAGCACATTAATTCAAAGTGGAGTAAATGACTAAACAATGGGCGAGGAAATAGAACCTTCCCTCCTGCCCCAGGAAGCCAGCCAAGGGGCAGGAGAGAAGGGGGCTACTCTCCCTGGCCTGTCACCCTCACTTGGCCTGGGGTGCTGGGTAGACACCAGGCTAGATGTGTCCCTGCTCGACCCCCACCCCCACCCCATTAGCAGCGCAGGGACAATGGGGCTAAGTGGCCTGAGGAGCCACCCCTCCACGCCTGCTGGAGGGCCCATACTGTCCCACTGAGCCCCCTCGAGCTCTCGTCTTCAGGGTCCCAGTTCACCAAGTATGGCTGCCGCCGGAGGCTGGACCACAAGATGGTGCACCGAGGCTTCTGCGACTCCCTCTCGAAGCCTAAAGCCATCCGCCGGGCTTGCAACCCGCAGGAGTGCTCCCAGCCCGTGTGAGTACCAGGGCTCCCCGGCCCCCAGCCCCACTAGAGGAGGGGAGGGAGAGCCCTGGGGCTCCTGTGGAGGGTGGTGCAGGATCTGGCTCCCTGGATGCTCTGAGCCTCACGTGCCCTGAGACGTTTGACAGATTCTTCCTCGCTCACCACGTTCTATGGAGTCTAAGATGTTGCAGGCTGTGCAGTGTCCCCCTGCTTCAGACCTGCTAGACGGAAACAATAATGTGCATCTTAGAAATGACAACAAGTGGTAATGCTCAGATGGGGAAACTGAGGCTCCGAGGGTGCAGGGCTTGCTTCTGGTCCCGTGGTAGATGTTTCCCAAGCAGCTCATTCCAGAGGCTGCGGCCTTGGAATGGCCACAGCCATGACCCTCCGGCTCCGGGGTTTGACAGGACTGCATTTCTGGGCCCAGGTTCCTTTTTCAGGACCCTGAGTGGGGAAGATGGTGGGTAAAAGGCAGGTGGGGGCCTTTTGGGGACAGGTGCTGAGGGTGTCCATGCTGCTGCCCGGAAAGTTTGGTGATGTCAGCAGAAGCTGAGGTCAGAGGGCAGAGCCAGAAGCCTAAGAAGGGACAAAGGCCAGCTCTCCATGGCCACATCCCAACCAGGATCTCCCAGCCATGGGCATGCTTGGGGCTCATCGTCTGCAGGACCTCAGGCAGGGGCCCAGCTAGCCTCCAGGGTGCCTTCCTGACAGTAGGTAAAGATGCGCCTAGAGGAGCGGGCTGCCTTGCCTCTGTCCACCAGGGCCTCAGCGAGGGTGATTCTCCAGGGGCTGACCGTGTGCTGCTCTGCCCTGACAGGTGGGTCACGGGCGAGTGGGAGGAATGCAGTCAGAGCTGTGGGCGGACGGGCATGCAGGTTCGCTCCGTGCGCTGCGTTCAGCCACTGCACAACAACACCACCCGCTCCGTGCACACCAAGCACTGCAATGACGCCCGACCCGAGGGCCGCCGGGCCTGCAACCGTGAGCTCTGTCCCGGTCGGTGGCGGGCCGGACCCTGGTCCCAGGTAAGCAGTGCCCCGGCCCTGTGTCCTCAGGCCCCAAACCAAGCTTGGGTGGGACTGAAGCGGCCAGGGCATTGCACCTGGGCCTGGATGCAGTTCTTGCCCTGGGCCACGTCCCGTAGGTCTCAGTGCACCCGTGGTTCCACATGGCTATGGGAAACTCAGTGGAATGTGTATCTTTACTCTGCAGGGTAGAGGCTCCCATGCTCCTGGGGACAGGACCCCCAGGAGACTGGGGACAGCCTGGGCTCCAGGAAACAAAGGGAAGCCTGGGCTTTTGTCTCTGGGGGCCAGAGGTGTGGCTAGAAGGTCCGTGAGACTTGCAGGAGGAAACACGGGCAAGGGAGGGCTTAGACTTGGGCTGAAAAGGATAGTCTCGGGCTGCAGGAGCTGTTCTGGGGCCAGGGCTGAGCTGATATGAGCACTGACATCCAGCCCCCAGGCCTGGTGGGTCAGGAGTCACCAGGACCAGACTTGGGCTCAAAGATTTGCTCAGAAGTTGCTGTAGTCATGGTTATGCTTTATTACAATGAAAGCACACAGCGTAGAATCAGCAAAGGGAAAAATTGTTTCGGTGAAAAGTCTGGAGGAAACCAGGCACAGACATCTAGGTGCCCAGGATTTTCACCGGGGATCAGTCACGTAGGCATCGCGTGCCTGCATGACTGACATCAGTTACTGAAGCCGCAGACCCCAGAGGGAAAGCGGATGCTCACCATAAATCATCTTGTTGCTGTAAACCAACCGAAGAAATTGGTGCGGCCTGATCCAAGGCCTCAGGCACGCAAAAACGCTCTTACCAGACAGACCATTCCATGAACTTGGTTCCCAGGAGTTGCCCAAGGGCCAGCCAGCCCTGAAAATAGGCCTTTCTTGGGACTGGGCAGGTTTGAGCAACCCGGTCTGCTGAGTCAACCCTTTGTCACACACAAGGTGAACACTTGAGAATCATCCTTTGGCAGGGTTGGGCTGAGCTGTGAGCAGAGCCACGAGTCTGGGCATGACTGCTCATTCGGGTCCCTCCCAATGTGGTGAGGCCAAGGGGGCCCGAGACTGGAGGGGACAGTGAGGGTGCTGGTGGTGTAGAGCCTTGTGTCCAGAGGGAGGGAGGATCCTCTGCCGAAGCCTCCTGGACCCAGGCAGAGCTTTCCCAGTGGCCCCCAGTGCATAGCAGTTCTTCTGGGCCTTGGGCCTCCTCTAGCCAGAGGAGGGAGGTGCTCGTTGAGAAGCCAGAAGTGCCAGGCCATATCTGGCCCTGCATATTTGTTCTCTCTAACTCACTCTAGAGCCCAGGAGATTGAGGCAGCTGCCCGGGGCTAGGGCTAGGCAGAGCAGGCCTCTAGCTCACCCTTTACCCTTTGTGTCTCCCCACCTCCCACGTATTGTGGGGTCACCCGCTTGGGGAGCCCTTTCAGACCCAGCCTAGCGTGGGAGGCGGGCCCTGACTGGTAACGCTCTGCCTGCAGTGTTCGGTAACCTGTGGCAACGGCACCCAGGAACGGCCAGTGCTCTGCCGAACCGCGGACGACAGCTTCGGGGTCTGCCGGGAGGAGCGGCCCGAGACGGCCAGGATCTGCAGGGTTGGCCCCTGTCCCCGTAAGCCTTCTGCATGCAGCAAGCCCGGGGTGGGGGGGTGGTCCAGGCAAATGCGGCTTTTCCCACAACTGGTCGAACTCAGCATCTGTGAACTTGAAGGAGAAGCTAAGCCCGCCCAGGCCTAGGCTGGAACCTTTCTGTGGCAGGAAATGGAAGGAACTGGCATTTGCCATGCTCATCTCCAGGCCAGGCCCTAGGGAAGGATGGCGTGGATTCAGTCCATCCCTGCCTTCCTGGCACTCCCTTTTGGTCTGGGAGACAGAAACCGGATTCACAGTGACTGCACATCGGGGCTCAGCCCATGCCCATGCGAGTAGGGGGTGCCTGTATGAGTAGAGGGTGCCTGCCGCCCTGCAAGGAGAGCAAGCAGAAGGCTGGCTGCGTGTAGATGCCTGGCCAAGTGCTGGACACACGTCAGCTCTTTCGGCCCCCACAACAGTTGAAGACGTAGATCCAGTCATGAGTCCCTTCTGCGGAGCAGGGAGCTCGGGGGGTCAGGTGTGCCTCCCCCAGCTGAGGAGTGGGTAGAGCCAGGATTCACTTGTTCCCTGCACTTCCAGAGCCAGCAGTCAGGGCACTGCTCAGCCCAGAGCAGGGCACGGTGGGGACTTGGAGGACAGTACAGAGATAAGGAGGCGCTGGTAGGGCCTGCGTGTGGGGATAGTAGCTGAAGCTACTCTGCGTAGCTGAGACCCGGATGCTTGGTGTGGGAGAGGCAGGACTGGGCCTGGACAGGGTGCTTGGGGCCCATCTGTGCCGAGGGAGGCCTTGCAGGCCACACTGGGGAGTTGGGGCCCTCCTGTCACCCCCTCCCTGGGATGCCAGAATCCAGGGAGCCCTTCTGCCTGGGGTGGGTGGGTTGGGTGCCCAGACCTGGTGCCCCAGCAGCCAAGACTCCTTTCTTTTCCCTCTAGGAAACATCTCCGATCCCTCCAAGAAGAGCTACGTAGTTCAGTGGCTGTCCCGACCGGACCCCAACTCACCAGTCCAGAAGACCTCGTCAAGTAACCGGCCCGTTTATAACTCTGTCTCTGCCCTCCAGTGCATGCCCTGCGCCTTGTGGAGCTTGCCGTGGGCTCCCCTCCTCTCTTTCTATGGAAAACTGCCCTGACTCTTCCTGAGCGCTCTCTTGGTTGAATCTGTTTTCTCCGGGCCTCTGTGCTCGGCTGTCCCCTTTGGAGCCGCCTGGCCAGGAGGGCCAGTCTCGCAGCGGCACGGCCCGGGGCACCGGCCTCTTGTGGGGGTGCCAGGACCTCGCGGTGATGGCTTTTAAAGGGGCAAAGATCTGTCGCGGTGCTGGAGGGGCCAGAGGCCAAAGTTTGAATGTGACCACTTGGTGACCGCCTTGCGGGGCCACATCCCTCCAGGCTGGAGCTGCGGGTCGGAAATCGAGGCGGAGCCCGCCCGTCCTCTTTCAAACGCCGCTTACCAGCGAGGCGAGGCCAGAGGGGTCTCGCGGGTGTGCAGTTTTGTGTTGCCGTCCTGGGCGCCCGGCCCGTTTCCGGCAGTGTGTCGGCGGCTCCCTGGCCACCTCTGCTGTTGCTGCTGCTGCTGACCCTGTGCTGTGTGTCCTCCTGACTCGTGTGACTGTGGCCTGCTTCCTGTGGCCTTTGTGTCCAGCTCACACAACCCTTGGCCCCCGTACCCTGTCCCCTTGGGGGTTCAGGTCAAGCAGAGGAGGCAGGGGACGTGTCCCCACAGTGGGACATCAGGACACACCACCAATTCCATTCTCTGTCCATTCGCTCCAATGGCCTTTCTCATCGTGCACACACGACCCCGTGCAGGGGCGCGAGAGAGTGAGAGTGAAAGGCTGTCTCACGTGGATGCGGCCACTACCCATGTGAACAACTACAGAATTACCTCAATTTTTATCGCTTTTTTGCTTAGATAAAACTATGTAGAAGATGCCTTAAAGTTGAAAGGTAACAGAATTGGCTGCTAGCAACCCAGGCAGGAGGCAGGCAGTGCAATCTAGAGGGAGGTGGCCCACTCATCCACCTTTGGTCAAGGGTAAGGCTTCCCAGTCCAGTCTGTACAGGGCCCCAGGCACGGGCTCACCTCTGTGGAAAGGAGACCCGCTCCATGGCCTGAGCGGCCCTTCGGCACTGACTGTTGTTGGAGCCCCGGGCACTCTGCTGCCGGCGCTGCCTTACACCAGAGGGCGAATGGCCTGGCCTGGCCCTGGGCGTGACCAGTGTAGCACTCCTGCCGGTCACCCCCGACTCTCCCCAGCCCCATCCCCTGTTCATAGCATCCCTGCTGGACAGCGCCCAGCCCTCCCCTGGCACTAGTTACTGTTATGTAAATACTCGGTGTAACCCATACTAATTCTCATGACTGTTAACTTCCAACTTTGACTTAGGCAATGCGAGTGACATGAGTGACTCTGGGAAGGTGCAATACGGTCCTGAGCATCGTGCTCTCTGTCTATATGCACTTTGGTTTATCAGGGATATTTTATTAGTGTTTTGTATGTATTCAATGACGTATTATATAGGTTCCATTGTCGTTGCTTTTCTGGTTTTTTTATGAGACAACGTTAGTGTGTGCCAAAGTGACTGTGAAAATGACCTTTTACTCTTACTAACAGTGGAAAGACTTCCTGTCATGCATCCCACAAATAAACTCAATAAAAGTTCAGTGAAACTGGGTGCTTGGGTCTGGCACACGGCTGCCTCCTTCTCTTCATCTCTGTGACCGATGGTGCTGCAGGGCTGCAGGTGCCGTTCTGGTCCATTACTTCCTTGGTTTCTGATTCCAGTGACTTTCCTGTCCCCCTTACCCTGCTCAACGTAGATACTGAGGGCCCCTCCCCCACTGAGGCATGTGCCCGCCCCCTCCTCGGGCATTTTTCAAAATGTGACAGCAGCTCGTGCAGACACCCCACCGGCATTCTGAGTTTTGAATCCTTAGTGCTAAACAAGCACCTTGCAGGAACACCTTGGCTGTCTCCTTGTGAATAAGTTCTCACAGCTGGGAAAAGGGCCCCATGTGAGCTTCTCCCCATCTTTGGGATCCCAGCCCTTGGAGTGGGAATATGGGGTTAGTAGCTGAGACAGTGTCCAGGTCACCATGCCCTGAGCCACCATCAGGCCACTACCCTGGCTCCGGGCACAGCTCTCAGCCTTGGGCTACCTGTTGAAGGAGGGAACAGGTCTGTCTTAGGAGAGTCTTAGGAGAGTCTGGGCTGGGAGAAGGGCAAGGCAGCCGAAGGTCTGAGCGCCTGGCCTGCGACATTCACACACGGGTGTGCTCAGCTGTGCCTGCCTTGTCTCCCAAAGCCTACCCTCAGGAGCCACAGGGCCTGTGTGTCCACTCCCCTTGCTGACAAGGACCACACAGCAGCAGGTCAGGGTCCAACCAGGGACCTCCTAATCTGGGGCCTGGGCCATGCCCTGCCAGGGGGGAATCTCTCCCTCCCTTTCCCATGAAGGGGTCCCGTTCCAGGGAGGAGGGAGGTCATGAGAAAGGACAACCACCCAGCGCCATGGAGATGGGCATCAGGGCACAGGGCCGGGTTCCAGATGCCAGCCTTCAGGTGGGGGTCACAGTAGCTGTGGCTGGGGTCAGCCTGCCCAGAGCTCTGATCATGGAAAGACTCCCAGCTCAAGAGACAGGAGACCAAGACAACTGTGTCTGACGAACTGCATCCACTAAGTCTCCTTGCCCAGACAGATCAGGAGAAATCCCTGCTGAGGGCACCTTGCCTAGAGCTGCGGGCAGGCCACCAACAGGGCTGCTCCAATAAAACTTTGATTACAAAACCAGGTGGAGGGACCGACTTGGCCCACAAGAGTGGTTGGCAGACCCTTACCCTAGACTGATGTGACACCCGCTTCTCGGATCCCAGCCTGGTGAAAGACAAGTGAGGGAGATGCTTGTTATTTGTGTGAAGGAAGAGGCACAGGTGACAGGAGAGGGTGTCTGTGTGGCAGGGGTGACCCCAGCCCCAGCAGCACGGCTAGGCCTGGCTGCATCCTTGTTGAGGCCTATGCCTCTGGCCTCCCCGCCCCAGCTGATGGCCAAAGCCTGGGGGAGATGTTGCACCTAGTATTATCAAAGCCCCCTTGTGTCTCCTTGAGGGCTGTCATGGTGGTTTCCACATGCTTACCTCAGTGACAGCCAGGGAAGGGGGAGGGACCGGGAGGGGAGAAGGGAGCAGGGGCTCTGAGCATGCCCCGCCCAGCTTCAAACAGGACTGTTCTGGTTTCATCTGTCTCAGATATTGGATATCTGTGTCAAATTTTTTTTTTTTTTTTGCGGTACGCGGGCCTCTCACTGTTGTGGCCCCTCCCGTTGCGGAGCACAGGCTCCGGACGCGCAGGCCCAGCGGCCATGGCTCACGGGCCCAGCCGCTCCGCGGCATGTGGGATCTTCCCGGACCGGGACACGAACCCGTGTCCCCTGCATCGGCAGGCGGACCCTCAACCACTGTGCCACCAGGGAAGCCCTGTGTAAAATTTTATCCAAGGTTTTAAAACCCTGAAAGCCACATCTCAGCATCTTTTAGTCTGATTTCTGGAATCGACCCTCAGCACAAGGCCGTCTGCCTTTCCCCTCCACACGTGGGCCTATTTCTCCATCTCAAGGTTAGGAAGACCAGGGCTTTTCCTAAACAGCCTATCTGTCCTTATCTCTTCATACCCTGGGTCCTGCACCTAGTCGTGTTTCCGCCTTATTTTGGCCACTTAGAAGCTCAGAGTGCAGGTTGGGTCCCTCTCTAATGATACGTGCCTCTGTGTATTCTTCCCTGCAGTACTGACGTTCTGAAATCCATGATTTCCTTGTTTTGGGCTTGCTCAGTTCTTCACATTGGTCTTTTTCACATTTATGCATTCTTCGATTCACTGTTCTAGGCTCTGGTAGAAAGACACATCCAGATACAGCTCGGGGCTCTGCCTTTTGGAGCTTCAGGATAATGAAAAAGTCAGGCATTAGTTACCTTGTCTGACAACTAAATGTGGACTTGGTAGCTGGGATGGAATGCTGGGAAAGGGAGACCCATGGCACCATAAGACCACATACTGGGGAATTTAACCTGCAAGGGAAGTCAAGAGATGCTTGCCTGAGGACGATGTGTTTCAGCTGAGCCTCGGGGATAAGAGGAAGAGGGGAGGCACAGTATGGGCAAAGGCCCTGTGGCCACAGAGAGCACACTGCAGAGCAAGGCAATCAAGGCCTGAATGAGACTGGAGAGGTGAAAGGGACGGGTCCTCTCCCTGAAAACAATGGAGGAGCAATACAAGGGCTTCAGTCTGGACGGTGACAAGGTCACTTCTCCGGCTGAAGAACATCATTCTGCTTGCAGCAAGATAGCTAGATAAGAAGGAGCAAGAATGGAGACAGGCAGGCAGAAAGGAGGCTCTTACCATGCTGCAGCCAAGAGGCAAGGTAGCTTGGCCCTGTGGAGGCAGGAGAGAGGGGAGCGTGGACACATCTGAGAGCATCAGGGGAAATATTGACAGACCTGGAGATGACCGCACAGGGGATGCCTGGGGTCTGGCTTGTGCACATGAAGGGCCATTGTCTGAGATGGATGGCGCCAGTGAAGGCCGTGGGCTTGGGCCGGACATGTGGAACCCACTTTTGGGACCACAGGAGTTGAGGGGTATCTAGTAGGCTGTTGTGCCCAAGTGTTTGAAGCTCCGGGAGTTTGAGGTTGGTGTCCAACTAAGTGGGTTGCCAGCCTGTAAGGGAAAATTATAAGCTGGAGCAATGGCCATGCAGAGGGCAGATGTCAGAACCACGGGCCCTGAATGGGAGGGGGCCTGCCTGTCTGTTATTGTGAGAAATTTCAGTGAGCTAGCATAGCTTCACATGCAGATGTAGAACGTGCCCTGTGTTAGTGCACAGAGTAACCATGTCAGATGTGGTCCGCATCAGTGGCTGCCCCTTCCCTCCCTCCTTCCTTCCCATCTCCCCTCTTTCCTTCCTTTAAATAGGAGATGAGGTCACCTGGGAGACTGAGGGGAAAGGAGGGCACAGCAGAAGTTTATGTGGGAAAAGTTTGAAATGACCATTATGAAGAATAGAGAGTGACTGAGCAGGGAACATAGCTGGAGGGTTGGGCCCATTGAGGTCAGTGATCAGGAATTTATAATGGACCAAATATCCCCTATTATACTGTTAAATGACTTATTCTTTTATGTTGAATGAATTTTTGTAAATCATCTCAATTTTTGTGTTGTGTGTGAAATTAGGTGTTAAGGGAAAGGGAAGGGGGTAAAAATTCAGGAAGAAGACAGAGAGTGAGAACAAGAGGAGTTGGATGGGTCATATTAATACGGCTGCAGCCAGGGTTGGAGCCAGGCCAGGGAGAAGACAGCCATG